TCACTGTTTCCATTCCTACCCAGACCCTTGTTGTCTCCCCTCTACTACTGCAAAGGCTTCCTTACTTCTCTCTTGCCCTACTATAATCCACTCTCCACGCAGCATCTCTGTATGTCTTAAAATACAAGTCTGACCATCTCACTCCCCTATGTCAAATCTTTAAGAGCGCTCCAGTTCTTTTAGAACAAAGCCCCAAACTTTACCACCACTGGCAAGGCCTTGGCTCCCTGCTTCTCTCACTCACTGTGATCCTGCCGCCTTGGTCTCTTGCCTTCTCCAGATTGGGCCAGTTCTTTTGAGCCTTCTTCTCACATGCTGCTTCTCTACCTGTAATGCTTATACCCCCTCCTTCAGGTTTCAGCTCAAATGTCATTTCCTCGTAGAAGCCTTTCCTGACGACCGTACCCAATCAGGTCCCTGTTACAGACTCCCAGAGTGGCATTTGCCGTTCCTCTGGAGCACTTAAATCACATTCTAATGAACTATTATTTAGCTGTGTGATTATAATTGGTTGCCTCCACTAGAGGGCAGGAGCCTTGGGGATCTCCTAAACTGTGACTCCACAATGGCTTCAGCAACCTGCCTGTTTCTCAAAAAGAAGTTGTTCAATGAATGTAGGAAGGCGGAAGAGTGAGGGGGAGAAAAGCAAGTGATTAAAAAGGCAGTAAGGGAGAATGGCTGCTAACTTAGCCTCTCCTCCCCACCATGCCTTTTGGTTCCATGACTTCCTCTGCCTGGTCAGGTCTACCTGAACGATGTCCCGCTCAGCATAGCGTCCCCTAGAGGACACGCGCACATCATCACCATCCAACTCTTCCATCGCTGCAGAAAAGACACCCCTCAGCTGATTGGCCTCTCCCACACCAACCCACGCTGCCCCCCTCCCTCTTAGCTCCCCCTTGGAGTCACCATGAGAATGTCTAATGGTTGCAGCAAAGTCCTGCAAATATTAGGCATTGTGATGGAGTTATTATTATATTTTCCCATGCATTCCGTCTCCCCGGGAGGGAAGTATTTGCATCAACAGCCTCAGTTATGATGAGGAAACAGGCTCAGGGGTCTGTGACTTGGCCAAGATTCAACACAGACATCCATCCTATCTTTTCTGTAAGGCAGGCCTGTGTGCCCAGATCCTCCCTTATTTTCCCCAGTTCTCGGTCCCACTCACGGACGCCCCCCATCTTACTCACCCTCAAACATGGCTGGTCCCACACCGACAATAATGATAGACATGGGCAGTGAGGAGGCCTGTGAAGAAAAGAGGGTAAATGGTTGGGGTAAGAGCTAGCATAACAAGGGAGATGACAGTTGGGAGACAGTTCTGTGCGTGTGCGTGTGCGTGTGCGTGTGATGTTTCTGCACATCTTACAGGCCGAGGCACTGATTCCCTTTGTGCCAGACTGTCTTTTCAAGGGTGTCTGCACATGCAACAGCCTTGAAAGATACAATGTCTTCCTTTAGAGTGAAGGGCAGGTTTACTGTCAGTATGATATAATGTCTTAAACTGGAACAAAGGGCAGGCATGCTTACTGCCCATTATAATAGACTTGCGTTCCCTAAGCTCAGGGTTTCTGTTCAATAATGCAACCCACTGTGGGTACCGGTATGTGGCCCTCTGCACATCAACCTGTGGGAACTGGAACTTAGAGAATCAGAGCAAATGCTGGGAGCTGAACTACTGCTATTGCTAGGAATTGCAAAGTCTTTTGCCTCTGATCCAGAGGTCTTGTCTGCTGCTAGCATCTATGAAACTGGAAGGCTAACTTGTTAGCTTGTATGTAGGGTAAAATCTCCACCCCTTCACAGTTATTAACAGTGCCCCCCAACACACACCCCTGCCAAGCCTTCCTCCTCAGACTCACACTGACAATGGCTTCCTTGGTCTGTGTCATGTCAGAGATGACCCCATCGGTGATGATGAGCAGAACGTAGTACTGGGAACCATCAGAGATCTTGGCTGCAGCCCTGGGTGAGAGGCCAAGATCAGAATCCAGCTGAAAGCCCCGAGAGGCCAGGGGAACACCCTATCCCTAAAGCTCCCTCGGCCAGTGTGCAACCTGTGGGCAAGGACCAGGGCTTCTGAAGCTCATGCTCCTTCCCCAGATCTGGCTGTCTGCCCTGCCTGCCATTTCTCCAGCAGCATTTAAAGAGCACTTAGTATGGTAGGTACTGTGTTAGGCATTGGGGGTTCACAGTGAGAAAAACCAAATCCTATCCAGACCTCCTGAGGAGGGAAATGGATGCAAGAATCATAGAAATAGCTATAAAATTACATTTGTGGTGAGAGTTGGATAGAAAGAGACACTGCCATGAGTGTTGCGTAAAGGATCTGACGTGGCCCAGAAGGTCAGGGAAGGCCTCTTTAAGGAAACAATGTTGAGGATGAAGGAGAGGAGGAAGGACAAGGGGCCAAGTGAAGGGGGGTTCATTCCAGGCAGAAGGAGTAGCAGGGACAAAGGCCCTACAGTGGTACTGGAGGAAGCCCACCCTGTCTGGAGCCCAGGAGGTAAGGGAAGCAGAGTGGACCATGTGACTGAGATGGGGCAGGCCCAACTACACACGACCAAAGACTGAAGGCCTCCTTTCTTTCCTCTCTCATCCATTTCTCCTCTCTCCCTTCTCCCCTCTACTGACCACATCCCATTGCCTAGGCTTCTGCGTCCTCAGCCAGGCTAACAGCCGCTCCCAGAGCTCTTTTCCTTCTCTCATCATCAGTCTCCAAGTCCAAGATTCTTTGATCTGAAAAGGACTTCAGGAGTCCCTGAGTCCACTCCTCTTATTTTACATATACGAAAACTGAGACCTCAGTTAGCACAGAGGCCGTGGGAGACCCTGGTCTCTCGACTTCCAGTCTGAAGCCCTGTGTGGCTTGGAAAGGATGGAGCTGCCTTATCCAGCAAGGTAGCCCCCAGCTCCTACTGACATTTAAATTAATTAATTGAAATAGAATTAAACATTCAGTTCCTCGTTCATCCTAGTAACACTGCAAGTGCTCCATATCCCTATGGAGCTGGTGGCTACCATATTGAACAGCACAGATACAGAACACTTCCATCACTGCAGAAAGTTCTGTTGCACAGTGCTGGTATTTAAGCTTGATATCAAACAATGAGAAGAAAGTATGGTGAAAGCAGAGAAGTTAAATAGCTATAGTTCAGTTTGCCTAGGGTCCTGGGTGGGAGTGGGCCATGATCCTCCGGAGCAGCCCCCGCTGCCTTCCTGAATTGTGGCTGCAGCCTCCTCATAGGCCTGGGCTGGTACCATTCCTGTCACTCATTTTGCAAATAATTATTGCTTGCCCCTTAATGTCTCTGTGCTTTTCACATGCAGTTCCTTCTTCCGGGCCTACTCTGCACTTCCTCCTCTGATAAACTCTGGTTCGCCCTCTGCACCCAGCCAAGTAGTCCCCTCCACAACTAGGCCGACTTGGCTGTCTCAGACTCTCCTCCTCTTCCTCTGCCTTCTAGGATGCCACCCACCAAGATGGGCTGTCTGCCCTTCCAGATGGGTTGTTATACCCCTAAGGGTACCAGCATGTGTGCCCAGGGATGCCCAAGGCCACAAGATACCTGGAGCATCCATTCTACTGTATGATCTCGTGGATAAAGCCAGATGATTCTAAGCACACTTAAAACACCCCTTCCCCTCTAAATTACAGCAAACATGGACACAATGTAAGAAGAATATAAAATTTGATGAATTTTTAAGATAAAATACAGGGATTTCAAAGACATTTTCAGCTTGCTACTTTCACCTGTGCCCCCTGGTCCCTCTAGGGGAAGCAGTCATTTGCTCCTGCCAACAGGCGACTTGCTGGAAAAGTCTGGGAAGCTCTGGCTTACAGAAGGTAATGATTTATTTATATTTCTATCTCCTGCACCAAGGCAGGAGTTCCCAAGGGCAGAGACTAGATCTGATTCATCTGTGCGTCTCCAGTGCCCCAGCAGAGAACTGAGCACATGCAGATGCCCTTTGAATAGTCATAATGATAATAATAGTAACAGTAATAGTTAACACCTATAGCACCTATGACGTGGCAGGCACTGTTGTAGGCGCCTGACAAATACTACTTTAGTTAGTTCTCACAACAGCCCTATGATGTGGATATTATTATCCCCATTTACAGTTGAGGAAACAGGCACAGAGAGGTTAAGAGTCTCACCCAAAGTCACACAGCTAGTAAGGGCTAGAGTAGGTGTATTAACTTAGCCAGTCTAGCTGCACAGCCCACATTCATGCTACATTCCCCTTTACCAAGTGAATGAATCAGTGAACTCTCCCAAGATAGTATTTAAGAATTCTGTTTAATAACAACAAAAAAATATGCTTAGGTTCCATTATTAAGTGAAAAAGTCAGTAGTGAAATATTACATGTAACTCGACTGCCATTGCGGTGTGTAAGGAAAAGACTGTCAAGAACTAAATGTATGTCCACATTCCCACGGGCAGCATTCTGGGAGACTTCTTTTCTTTCTTTCTTTTTTTTTTTTTTTTTTGTTTCTTAATTTCTCCCTCCTTGAAATTTTCTACACCAATGTTATGTTACTTTTATAATTAAAGAAACTATTATCCTCACCATGAGTTAGAAAAATAAACTAATCTTTATTAGAGAAAAAGGTACCCTCTGGACATATGAATCTCCTGAAAATCCTTCCACTTTTATTCCCTTTTTTGCTTCATCTTTCTACTTTCAAGCTTTCTGAGGTCATTTGTTTTAGGTGGGTTTCTTCTATTTAGCATACAGTAGGGCCTACTTATTACTTTTTTTATTCTATCAGAGAGGCTTTTTCTTTTAATAGGTGAGCTTATCCAATTTATGTTTATTTACATACATTTGGTCTTAGTTCTGTCTTGTATTTTATTTGTATTTAAAAAAATCATTTGATATGTGAGCTGGATTTTCTTTGTATGCTTTTATTCTGAAAATCTGGAGTTACTCTTCCATTTTTAAGAGATTGAAGCACTATCTACTGGGCTAAAGAGGCACTTTCTTCTGTTTTCAGAAGTTACTCTCTGTATTTTAATCTACCACTTGAGCTCATTTTAATCCTCTGGGAGCACTTGCTGTGGGCCAGGCACTGTGCTGATCATTCTCATATTGTTGTCTACTTTTACATTCCCAATAACCCAATAAAGAAAGTCCTGTTAGAGGGAGGTAATAGCTCAGAGGCAGAGCTCATGCTTAGCAGACTTGAGGTCCTGCGTTCAATCCCCAGTACCTCCACTAAAAAAAAAATGCTATTGTTATCTATTCTTACCCATTTACAAGGATGAAATGGATGGAGGCTCAGAGAAGCTAAGCTGCTTCAGTCACGTGGTTAGTGAGTAGTAGACCCGGGGATCACTCCCAGGTCTGATGCCAAAGCTTATGCCTTGTCCGCTGTGCTATAGTCCCTTCTGTCTTCCCCAAACTTGAGGCCTGGGTGGTTGTTCCCAGGGAGTGGGGATGGGGTAGTTTATTGACATCCTCTCTACCTCAGAATAAGGCATTATGTAACATATTTATACCAGAGCCTGACCAACACTGAAACTTTCCCCCTCTCCCCAAGGCCCAGATTCACCCAAGAGCAGTCTTGACTACCCTTGGGAGAGCAGTCTCCAGTCTGGGTCCCCTCCTTTTCCCCAAGCCCGCCCAGCTCCCTTACCTGGCCACCTGGTTGATGACAGGTGCGAAGCAGGTGGGCCCGTAGAGCTGCACTGTGCGCAGGCTCTGGGAGTAGCTCTCTAGCACGCCCTCGATGCCTGCACAGTTGGGGTCCTCATCATTGTTGTTCTGCAGAGAAGATGCCCTGCTGGGCTGACCCCACGCAGGGCACAGCCAGGAGTGCTCTGATCCCAGCTCACTCTCTCTTTTTTCCATCACTCTCCTTCATGCTCCCCCCCAAACTCTGGCCCTGCTCTGCCACCTCCCCTAGCTCCCGCTGCTCTACAGGTCCTTGAACCTTAGAGGAAACATAAGGAGAAGAATTCTGACAGACTGGGTGGGCCAGATGCCAGGGCATGGAGTCTAGGCTTGGCCCATACCATACCAGGGGGAACTGGTGGGAGATCCGTCCCTCTGGAGGCAGCTTGGCCCCAAAGCCGTAGGCTGGGAAGAGCTTGTCACTGTCATAGTCCTGGATGATTTCTCCCACTGCCTTGAGGGCCATGGCGTAGGCGCTGAGCTGATAGGGACTCATGTAGTGCAGGGAGGTGGGCTGCAGGGGGTTCCCTGGAGGGAAACAGAAGCCCCACCTCATGGTCACCTTGATCATCGATCTATTTACCGGCCTATCTTTGTATGCATTCAGGTAGGTGGCCCCCTTACACCCAATAATCTCCCCACAGCACTCCTGCCCCCGTATCAGGCTGCATGGGCTTCCAGAACAGGTGAACGCTCATCCCCAGGTGGGAATCCAGGTCAGTCCCCACTGATCTTTAGAATTTCTCCACACCCCACTCCCCCATCCATGCCTCACCATTGGAAGCTGTGAAGTCAATGGCTACTGTGAAGTTCAGCTGTGTCCTGTTGGAGAAATAGATGGATTGAGAAGTGAGGGACTAGTACTTATTGCACCAGAATTTCTCAAACACTAGTGTGCATATGAATCACCTGGGAATTGTGTCAAAATGCAAAATACGATCTGGATGGTCTGGGTGGAGCATGAGATTCTACATTTCTAACAAACTCCCAAGTAATGCAAATGCTGCTGGCCACGGGACCCACTTTGCGTAGCAGAATTAAATGCCCGTTGCATGACAAGTATATTACATATAATTTAAATTAACCCTCACTATAGCCCTGAACACTAATTAATATCTCCATTTTTACATCGGAGAAGAGTGAGGTTCAGAGAAGAAAAATACCTTCCCCAGGTCTGCCTGCCTCCACTAAACAAAGGGGAACATCCCCTACAGTCGGCTTGTCTTTCCCTCTGTTCTCGGCCTGTCCCTCTTGCCTGCCCATAAGTTCTAACTGGGGCCCAGTCAGGCTACTGGGGACACTTCTGAGACCACTGGTCTGGCATCCTCCCAGGGGGTACTGGAAGCCAGGGTTGAAAGGCAGCCCCGTGGAGACGACTAAGATGGGTGGCACTCTGCATTTTACAGAGCACTTTATACTTTGCAAGTGGTTTACAGTTTATCTTCATGATCTCATTGGACCCTGATCATTAATGAATAGTAAAACTGAGGCTCCGAACTGGGACTTTCAGCCCAGAGCTTGGCTTGTGACTCACCCTCCCTTGATATAATCGACAAAAGTGAATTCAGAGTCCACAGAGAAGGAGAGCAGTGTCACCTGTGGGACAGAAGAGGCAGCCGGCTACTTTGGAAAGGGTAGTTGGGGTGGAACAAGGGAGAGGGGCGCCTGGATCCCACCTCCCGCCCCGCTTTGCCCCACCCTGCACAGTTTCTGAAAGGGCAAAAAGGGGAAGCTGTCAGATATATATTTGGATTTCCAGAAGTATACTAAATTGGGAAGTATAACTTAGAATTTCAAAAAAATTCTGCAAAAGAGTAAAGATCAAAAAAATTTCCTTAGGTGAGAGAAAAAGAATAAAAGAAAGAAAAACTTCAGTGGTGCCACATTGTACCCAACATTATTATATCCAAGTAATCTGTGTCCACAGCCTTCCCGTACCCTCAACATTTGTCATGTCATGCTGTGTCAGTGGGGACAGAAACAGAAGGATCCAGGGAGGGCCGGGGCTCTAGGGAGCACTCACAGTTCCCGAGTTGACGTATTTCTTCTTCTTACATTTCTTCCGGGGGTTAAGTACCTAAGTGAAGAAGGTGACAGTGACGGTGGGAAGTAGAGGAAGAGGAACACAGACTGACACTCCAGGACGGAGGGCCTGGGCAACCTGGCGGGGCTGGAGCTCTCACCTCATACACGGTGAACTGGTTCTGGGCCTTGCTCAGCTCTCTGTAGCTGGTGGTGAACTCACCGATGAAGTCGTGGCTGCAAGGAGGCCAGGGACAGGTGAGCAGCCGCTGCTGCTGGCTTGGAGCTACCCCTGAAACCAGTCTTTTAGTCCCACTATCCCCTGCCTCTTCTTGGGCTGCAGGGTCCCAGAAGTGGGACCAAACTAACGGGAAGAGAGGGGAAGAGAGAGTGTACCAGAGAGACAACTGAGGGGGTCAGTTGTACCCAAGGTCCTGGCATTTGTCCTCACCCCTCCTGGCTCCCAGGGGCACTCTGGGGCTCCGGGCGAATGTACTATGTAGTTTTTTAGGGAACTGGGTTAAATACAGGAAAGGTGGTATCATGTGGGGCAGTGCTACCTTCCGTCCCGGTCCCAGTCATACACATCAATCTTCACTGTTCTGAAATGCAGGAGATAAACATGGGCTGGGTGAGTGAGATAAAGCTGAGATGCCCCTGCCCACTTAACTACACACAGATCATCCCCCATCTGCCCATCTGTCCTTCTGTCAGCCTTCCTCCCGTCTGTCCTAGCCGTTCATCAGTCCAAGCACGTACCCAACTATCTACCGCCACTACCACTATTATTACTGTCGTTTGTAGTACTATTACTATTCTTCATTACTTATGAGTCTTGGTATATTCCAGGCATTGTTCTCAGAACTTTCACACATTATCTAGTTTAATTTAACAATCACCTTACAAAGTAACTACTATTGTTATTTTTGAATAAGGAAACTGAGGCACAAAAACCAGTAACTTGACTAAGGACCATAATTAGTAAGTGACCGAGCTGAAATTTAAACTCAGACGTCCTGGTTCCAAAGATCATGTTCTTAACTACTATGCCTAAGTCATCCCGTATGTCCATCGATCTATGTGGCAGTTCATTCAACCATCTGTCTATCCATCTAGCCACCCATTTACCCATAGATTTGCCAATCTGATTACCTATTAATCCTCTATCTTTACCACCCATCTAACTATACATCCAGCCCTTCACTGACTCACTGATACATGTATGCATCCATCTGTTGGTCCATTCATCTATCCAACCACCCAGCCATCTGACATTTGTCCATCTGAGTATCCATTCATCAGTATAACCATCCACTTATGGTCCCTTCCATCCTTCTATCCACCCACCTATCTTCATGCTGCCCATTTGTTTGTTTCATATGGTCAGCCTATCTACTTTACACTCATACATGAACAAATTGACCCACTAATCCATCTGTCCCTCCACCATTCATTCATATGTCTATTCGTCAATCTACCTGTCACTTCACCTGTTTATCCTCCTGATGTTCCAGTCATCCCTCTGCCTCTCCAAGTATCTACCAGTCTCTCATAAACCCATCCATCCAATCATCCATTTTCTCATCCATCCATTAATCCATCCATCATCTGTCCAACTACTAATCCACTCATCAGTCCACTTATCCACTCACCTGCTATCCATTCATCCATCTCCCCTTCTACCCACCCACCAGTCCTTTTATACATACATCCATATACCCACCTATTCATTCACCAGTTTATCCATTCATCTGACCATCCATCCATGTATCTGCTAATTCATTTGTTCATTTTCCCTCCCATCCATCCATCCATCCATCCATTCACCTACTCACCTACGCATCCATGTGACTATACATCTGCTTCCTCATGCACCCGTCTCCATGCCCAAATCTCTTTCTCACTAAGCAGGATGCTCTAATGCTATTATGACACTTCTGCCTTGATTCTGGGACCCAGGAAACCCATTGTCATGTCCTTGTCTCCTTAATCCTTAGCTTATGCTGAAACAGACCTGTCATAGTCTCCATTGCACAATGCCCGCACAGGGATGCTGAAGGGCTGCCACACAGGATTCAGCGTGTTTTTCACAACTTCTGTCTTGTGGCAGATGGTGAACCTGGAGAAGAACAAGAGGACTGGAACCTGCCTTTAGGGTAGGACTGAGCCCAGAGACAGGGCTTGATACTCTTGGAGATTCACACACACGCATATTGTGTGCTGCCTTGAGTGAATCTGGAGTGCTCAGGTCCTGGTGGAGTCTGAGATGCCCCAGCCTAAGAGCCCTTATGGGCCCATGGTCACAACAGGGGCAGTGACTCACGTGCCATCTTCATTGCTCCTGTAGAACACAAGGAAAGGGTCTGATTTCCCAAAGAAGTCCTTCTTGTCCAGCTTGTTTGCACACAGCTGCATGGTGGCAATATCCTAGGATGAAATTGGGCTAGTGCCACTCAAACTGCCCACACACACAGACAGCCCACTAAAGGGAGTCTGGGGAGAGAAGAGAGCCTTCTGGGTCTAATATGTGGCCCTTACTGACCCGACAATTGCTAAGTTCCTCTGCGGTCAGCAATATGGTCCCACACTTCTTGCCTGGTACACCCCTGGAAGCAGAAAAAGCCTCTTTGTAGAGGGGGGGAGAGTAGGAAACAAGGATTGGGGTGGCCAGCCTGGGACTGGGTGGGCCAGGGGATGCAGTTTGCCATTTACTGACAGTCCCCTGAGTGTACCCACCTCCATCCTAGGCGGCTCCTGCTGGGGAAGGGCCTGACTTTGACTGGGGAGGGGTCTGCAGTTTGGAAGAAAGGGGCTAACCTAGCCTGGGTGGACATCTCATCATGGTAGTGTGGGAAAGGCATAGGATTTAGAGTTCTGGGCAGGTTATTTCCCCTTTCTTTGGGCTTTAGTTTTCTCCTCTAGGTAATGGGAATCTTGCCCACTTCTCAGGGTTGTGAAGCGATCGGAATGAGTGCATGAAAGGAAAAGTAATTGGTAAGCTTGGTAGATATGAAGGTGGTTCTACTTCTCAAAGCAGACCTTGTGCCTACTGTACGCCAGGCACTGTGCTAGGTATGAACTGGCTGGTTGGCACTCTCTGGCTCTGCTAGACCCTACCTTCAGGGAGCTTCAGGGGGAGGTGGGATGTCAAAGCCAATGGGCAATTAGAGTGTGATGTAGCAGTCCTGAACGAGGGAGAGGAATTTCTGTTCAGACCCAGGGCAAAAGGGCTGGTTTGTGAGGTCGAAGATGCTGTGCTTTCTGAAGACAGAAGAGTGAGATCAAAAAGAGCAGGGAAGCCTTATCTTCTTCTGACTCAAGAAGGGACACTTCCATGTACTTGAAGGATACATACTGGGACACCTATCCCCAACTGCTAGCACTTGTCAAGTCTCGACTCCAACTTGCTATGTGATTTTCCCCATCTTTAAAATGAGACTGTTGAACAATTTCTTTGGCTCCTTTGATCTCTGACTCTCTGTGCTTTAAAAAGGCAGAGTGTGATGAGTACAGGGACTCTCCACCTGCACATCCAGAACCAAGTCGCCGATCTTACTGCCTTCTCACTGTTCTCCCTCACCTCCTCACCCAGCGTGAAGCACAGTCACTCGGGCTGTAATGATCAGTCTCTTGCATCCTGCTCCTTTTTCCTTGCCCTTCTCTCACTTCTGTATACTTATTTGGCAGAACCACAGCCCTAGTTAAATCCGATCCTCTGCCTAACCCATGCTGCACCTGTGCAGCTGAATATGGCCAGAGGAAAATGCACATTCATGCTAACTGGTTTTATTTTAAATGCATGGCCACAAACCTCAAGGGGTCCTTAATCAACTGTACAGACCAGGCCCCTTCACTCTCCGGTTCCATGAGATGGCAGTTCCACTCCTCCTCTCTCCTCAACGCGAAGAGCCTCCTCCTCCTCCGTCCTCAGCCTCAGCCAGTGACCTTGTTTCCTACTTCCCTGACAAAACTGAAGCCACCAGAAGACAATGTCCACAGACCCACCACCACACCTACCCTGCCCCCAGTGTCTCCACCCACACACCAGCGCCTTCCTACCGTTGCTATAAACGACAATCCAGGGGCCTACTTGTCCCTCCACTGTGTGCTACATCGCACATCCTCTCGCCTGCACAGGGCCATCCCTCCAGCAATTCTCTCCTCTTTTTATTGTGTCAAATTTTCAGTTTCTACTGGATCATTCTCATGAGCATAAAAATATGGTATGATTTTTCTCATGTTAAACAATTTTACAAACCAATTCTTGACCTCTCACTTTCCTCTTCAGCCACCTCTCCTTTTCTCTTCTCCTCTTTGCAGCAAAACAAGTTGACAATTTCCTAATTCCCATTCCCTTCTTCCATTCTCTTCTAAACCTCTCCAACCAGGCTGTCACTCCCATCTCCTCTTCCAAACTCTGCTTGTTACAGTCACCAGCGGCTTCCACCTTGCTACTCCAATGGCCAATTTCCAGTCCTCACTTTACTTGACCTGCAGCAGCATTTGACATGCCTGGTCACTCTCTCATCCTTGATACACGCCTGCACTTTGCTTCCAGGACAACACCACCTTCTCTGGGTTACCCTCCCCTCTCATTCTCAGTCTCCCGTCCTAGTTCCAACTCACAGAGTCTCAGTCTTTGGTCTTCTCTCTCCTCCCTCCCTTAGTGATCTCATCTCACTTCCTTAAAGAGCATCTAAGATTCATGTTTCTTATTGCCTATTTGACTTGTCCATTCAGACACCTAATAAAAATTAAAATAATGATATTCAACATGTCAAACTGAACTGATTGAATTCCCCCTGAAGCTTACCCCTCCTTCAGTTTATTTTTCAATCATCTCAGTTTATGGCAACTCCATCCTTCCATTTGTTCAGGCCAAAGGCCTTGGTGTCATTCTTGATTTCTCTTTTCCTCTCACATCCATATTCAATCTGTCAGGAATTTGTTGGCTCCACTTTCAAGATACACCCAGAATCTGCAATTCTCCCCTCCTTTGCTGCTAGCACTGTGAATTACTGTAAAATAACTCCCTGATTCAACCTTTGTCCACCCAAGGTTTAGTCTCAACCCAGCAGCAGAATCATCCCTTGAAAGCAAGTCAAATCATATCACTCCTCTGCTCAGAACCCTCCAATGACTCCCAACTCAGAGTAAAAGCTGAAGTCCTTACATGGGCCACAAGGGCCTAACTGTGAGCGCTCCACCCTCACCTCCTCCTTTCCTCCCACTGCTCATCCAGCTCCACTCACACTGGCCTCCTTGCTGCTCTTTGAACCTATCAGACATTTGCACTGGCAGTTTCCTCTGCCTGGAACATCCCTCTGTGGATATCTGCACAGCTCACTCCCTTACTTCCTTCAGGTCATTGCTCCGAAGTTACTTCTGCATGAGACGTACTCAACCATTCTGTTGAACATTGCAACTCCCACCCTCTAGCATTTCCAATCCCCCTAATTCTGTTCTACTTTGCCTCCCCCTCCACAGCACTTAAAACCTTCTAACATATTATGTAATTTACTTACTTATTACATAAACTTTGTGTTGTTTCTCCCCCTTCTGTAGAATAAGCTCCCTGAGGGCAGGAACCTTTGTTTTGTTGGTCATTGCAACCCGAGCCCCTTGAACAGTGGCTGACATAGAGTATGTGTCCAGAAGTATTTGTGGAATGGATAAATCGCTGGTGCCTAGCACAGGGTATGGCATACAAAATGGGCTAATAAATATTTAGTGAGTGAATGTAATAGAAATTCCAGAGGATTTGATTTAGTGAGGGAAGCTTCCTGGAGGAGAAGGGATTGGAAGTGGACCTTAAAGTCTGAATCAGCCTTAGAAAAAGAGAGGAGAGAGAGAGGGAGAAGACATGTCAGACCTGAGACTGACCTGAGCAAAGCCCTGGAGACTGGATTTTCCCACGAGGGTGATGGGAGCCATTGAAGGCTCCTGACCAGGGGAAATCCCAACCTCCACTGATATAGGGTCAGCAGCCTCTTTGGGAGGACAATTTGGGGACCCATCCTTCCCCCCTCCCGCTCCCCTTCCAGTTCAGCTCACGTGAGGGCTCGCTCTACACGGCTGCCCTGGCCTCCGATCACCTCTCCCAAGGCCAGGAAAGCTTGTCCCAGGAAATCCTACACCAAGACACAGAATCAGCGAGGCTTGGAGGGGCTGGGGCACAGAGTCCCATCCCAGCCCTGGTGATACTGCTGCATGACCAGGGCAATTGGAGGCAGCGGAACCACCCAGCCCGTGGTTTAAAGGAGAGGGAGGGGATCCCCAGGCAAGGAGATGGCCCTGCCATCACTTTAAGCCATGATGCGACCCCACCCTTTCACACACTCATCCCACCCCTGCCCACCCCAATTCAGCCTCACCTTCTGAGGGTCCCAGCAGCCCCAGCAGCAGTCAAGAAGGAAGAGGAGAAGTGAATAAAAGGCACGGGGTGGGGGCGGGGAACCAAAGCAGGAACCGGAGAGGAGGGCAGGGCAGGGAGGGCGGTTTGGGGCTGAAGAAGGTCGAATCGGATTTGAGGGGTAGGAGGGTTCTAAGAGGGTCGTTTAACACAGAGCGCTGCATGTGTGCCCGGCCAACCCGCAAAGGGATGGTCGCTCACCGGCTTGGAGGCGTTGGTTTTAGAGTCGACGTTGTACCTGGAAAGAGAGTGGACCAACGTGGGGCGGGGCTGGTGGGAGAGAGCCTGGAAAAGCTGTCAGATTTCGAGTCCTGGTTAAAATTGTGGGTGGAGGGAGGGTGGCCTTGGACGCGAATTCAACCAGGACCTCCTTCAGGCAGGAGTCAGGGTCAGAGTCAGGCCTGGGGCGAGGGGGAGTCAGGGGCCTGCTGGGGGCGGGGTCGTGTCAGGGGCGGGGCCTAGACGGAGGCGGAGCAGTGTCCTTGACTGGGAGGGCAAGACCAAGCCTGGGAAGTGAACTAGGTTGGATCTGACCTAAGGGCAGGGCCAACCTAGACTTGGGGGCGGAGCTAAGGCTGGAGAGGAGCCCTTCAGAGTGTGACCAAAGTGGGCGTGGGGGAGGAGGATCCAGGTTAGGGGGGCGGTCCAAGCCAGAATTCTGGGCGGGGCTCACACATCGAAGCGCAGGTTTTGCTTTTCCTCAAAGAAATAGTCGAGGACGAATTTGCGCAGGAAGTCTGGGTTCAGCGTGTTGTCGATCACCTCGGTCCGTCCAAACTGAATGGGGAGCAGAGAGTCAGCGCAAAGTCTGCAAGGGGGCGGGTGATTCCCGGGGGCGGCTCTGGGCAGGGTGAGGGCTCTAGGTCTCACCTCCCGCCATTCCTGGCTGGCCCGGCTCTGCATGTAAAGCACCACCACTGCAGGCGGGAGTGGGGGCGGGGAGGGAAGGACGTCAGTTTGGCCCGCACCCCATCCCCGCCCCTCAGTCGCAACCGGACCCCAAGATTCCCCCCTCCCGGCGCTGGCGACGCCTACTGGGGTCGGACTTGGAGAAGGTGTCGAGGTCCAGCAGGTTCCTAGAGAAAGTGACAGACAGACGGACAAGGGGTGGATCATCCTGGAGCCCATCGCCTCCACCCTGCCCAGAGATGGGTACATGGGGAGGCATGGGGTTCAAATTGTTCCTCCCTCTCCCTTCACTATCCCCAGCCGGAGTCCGCGTTGTCAGCACTCTGGACAACACCGGAAATCTCAGCCTGAGACCTGTATCTCTGCGGACTGGACGCATACACGTCCATACTGCCTCCAAGGGCCCAGGAAAGAGGGTTACCCCCAGAACTTTGTCCTCGTGGGGCCCATATCCTATTGGATCCCCGCGACCCACACCTTGAGCCCGCAGGCTGAGACCTCTTTTGCGGTTGAGGCTATTCAAGGAAACCCCCTCCCCAAGTCCACGAGCGACTCCCCTGAGTCTGCATCCGCGATTTTCTGGCCCCGGATTCTTCTTCCCCTGGGGTCTAGTCCCTGTCCGCGCCAAGCCCCGAAGCGAGGTGGTGCTGGAGCGGTGCCTAAGCCCTCCCCAGCGTGGCCCGCTCACCGGCAGGACACGGTAATTTCAATCTTGGTGGCCGGGACGCTGCGCTCAGAGGCTCCGCTGA